ATGTGATAACAGTATTTAAATATTGATATTATTCACACTTCTAGGTCAGCACATATGTTTTGTTTTTTGTTTCTAAAATAATATTTTCTCTGGCTCCTATATGTAATACCTATATATAAACATCGTAAAATCTTACGGTACATCGCGAAAAATGTGTTATATTTTATATTTCAATTTATGGTAAATAATGCAGCAATTAATTTAATAACAGTTTCATATTAAAAAAAAATATTTAAAGCAATATAATCACCCTATTGAGCTTTTGCAAATTCATCCCTTTAAAATAAACAAAACGCGCGTTACGTCAGTTCGTTCTAAAAGAAACGTTAAAATAGCAGCCAGAGATGCGTCAACTTTTTTGGGCCGGTCCACATGCACTGAATAAAAATAAAGTTCTTATATAATATTGAAAATACAGGTTTATCTTTTGAATAAGTACGTACTTATTCGGTGTCGTTATCACTCGAATCTTTATATGTGTTATAAATTAATGCTTTTTGTTGTTAAATGAATAAAGTATAACAATAGATGATTTTTCTTCTATAGCATCTTTTACATAACTTTTTAATAATAGTTAATAAATAATAGAAAAATCATTATAAATAAAGAAAGTACTACCATATAAAATGTGCCTATATATTGAAGGTTTGTAACCCCTGGTTAAACGACCGTCCGTTTTTCTCAATAGATTTGGCACATACTATAAGCACTTATATCATTTAACATTGTTGCCACATAACATTTCACTGAATCAGTCGGTAATAAACGCCCGCGACGTAACTTAATGTAATAACCTATTCGTAACATTCTGTATTTTATATCTTTTGAGTCGATTATCCAAATGAGCCAAATGAAACATATCAGTATTTCAGAACATTTCAGTGATCGAGATGCAAATGTTCCAATCGCAAAAATGATACACTTTGCCCACCTATGAAATTGTTGAATCCAATTTTGAGTGCTGGTTTACCACGTGCTCGGCGGCGAAAGAAAACATCATGAGGAAACCTGCATGTCTGAGAAATAAGAAAAAATATTTCGAAGACATGTGAAGCTCGCCAACATGCATCGGGGCAGCTCGGCGGTCAATTCATTGCCCTAAAACCCTCTCAGAAATGAGAGGGAGGTTTGTGCCCAGGAGTGGGACGTATATAGGCCAATTTTACCATTGCCTCACTTGATAAGAAATGAACTACTAGTGATCCACCTTGGTTTCGCACGGGTGATTTCTGTATCTCGACAACAGCGCGACCCATTGGATACAAATGTGAATCTAAACCATCTAGGGACCCTTTCAAACACACATAAAAAATTTCATCGAATTCAGTCGAGCTGTTTTTATGTTTTAGCAAGACCAACAGACGGCAATTGATTTTTACATACAGAGACCTGAAGGCGATCTTTTTACTATTGTTTTGTATTAAGTTATTACTATCAAACAGTTGTCACAATTTAATTTTATATAATTTCAAAGTTCAAGCTCTTATTAAAGTCAAAATCTAGACCGGTTAGCAAAACAATGGAGAAGAACTGGCAAGAATCTCTAGGGCTTACATTAAAGCCGTGTTACAATTTTATTTATAATAATTACGATTTATAATAAAAACTTGCCGTGTAGTGGCGGTTAAGAATATCCACTACCCCATATCTTCCCGTGGGTGTCGTAAGAGGCGACAGAGGGAGACAGGCAGGAGATGGGCAGCAGCGTCTTCCTGATGACAACTGTGACGTAATAAAAAACTGCGGTTGCCAACCCGCTCGCCAAGCGTGGCAACTATGGCAAATAACCCCCCCAATGAATAAATACACAAACAGACGGCCCCCAGTCCCCGGCGGCCCCGCTATTCCTGGCTACGGTGGCGACCATGGTAACGGCGGGGCAGGGGGTGCTAAGAATCTCCGGTGGAGGTTCGGTTGCCACCTACGACGACTCGACCTGGCAACATATAACGCACGCACCCTGAGGACTGACGAGAAGATACTGGAGCTGGAAGAAGAGGTAGACAAGTTGCGCTGGCATATTATTGGATTATCCGAGGTCCGAAGAGAGGGGGAGGACACGGCAATCCTCGAGTCCGGCAACTTGTTCTATCACCGGGAGGGCGACCATCTGTCCCAAGGAGGTGTCGGATTTATCGTCCACAAATCTCTCGTCAACAACGTTGTAAAGATTGGGAGTGTGTCGACGAGGGTCGCGTACCTGATACTCAGAATCACCAAACGGTATTCGCTGAAGGTCATTCAGGTTTACGCACCAACCTCGGCACATCCCGATGAGGAGGTGGAGGAAATGTATGAGGATATTTCCAGAGCCATACATTCCTCCAAAACCTACTACACGGTGTTGATGGGAGACTTCAACGCAAAACTGGGCACAAGAGAAAGCGGTGAGCTGAAGGTAGGGAAATTTGGAGTAGGGCAACGGAACCGAAGGGGCCAGCAGCTGGCCGACTTTATGGAGAAAGAGGGACTCTTTATGATGAACTCTTTCTTCCAGAAGCGGCCCCACAGGAAGTGGACCTGGTCGAGCCCCGACGGTTCGACAAAAAATGAGATTGACTTCATTATGACGACCAGACGCCAACTGTTCAGTGATGTCTCAGTGATCGCAAGGGTGAAAACTGGCAGCGATCACCGAATGGTTAGAGGCACACTGAACCTAAACGTTAAGTTGGAGAGGTCTCGTCTAATGAAGTCAACGCTCCGTCCCCCTCGTGCTCTAATCCAGAATCCCGAAACCTTTCAGCTCGAGTTACGTAACCGCTTCCAGTGCCTAGAAGATTGCAATGCAGTGGACGATATGAACGACAAGCTCGTGGAAACTGTCCATGCGGTCGGAGCTAAGTTCTGCAAGACCCGCCGCAGAAGAACACAAAAACTCTCCGATCACACTCTTAATCTCATGGCTGTTAGACGGGAGATGAGGCTGCAATCGTCAACAGATTTGACAGCATACAGGCAACTGAACAGACAGATCTCCAAATGCATACGGCGAGACTTACGCAACTTTAATACTTCTCGTATTAAAGAAGCGATCGAGCGGAACCAGGGCTCCAAAGTCTTTGCCAGAGATCTGTCTGCCAGAAAGAGCCAACTGTCAAGGCTGAAGACTGAGTGTGGCAACATCGTTTCCGGGACACCTGAGATTTTGAGTGAGATTGAGAGGTTCTATGGGCAGCTGTACACATCATCGTTGGAGCCACACGCAAGTGTGAGTAACGATCCAAGAGCAAGTCTTATCCGACACTATTCCGATGATATCCCGGACGTCAGTCTAAGCGAGATTAGAATGGCTCTCCAGCACCTTAAAAACGGCAGGGCCCCAGGCGAGGATGGAATTACAGCGGAGCTTCTGAAAGCGGGTGGAACACCGGTACTTGAAGTCCTTCAGAAGCTCTTCAATTCCGTCCTCCATGGTGGCACTACTCCAGAGGCGTGGAGCAGAAGTGCGGTGGTCTTGTTCTTTAAGAAAGGCGACAACGCTCTCTTAAAGAACTACAGACCGATTTCCCTTCTGAGCCGCGTCTACGTGCTGTTTTCGAGAGTCATTACGAATCGTCTCGCACGCAGACTTGACGACTTCCAGCCTCCCGAACAAGCCGGTTTCCGAAAAGGCTTCAGTACCATAGACCACATACATACCCTGCGGTAGATTGTACAGAAGACTGAAGAGTACAATCTGCCACTTTGCCTGGCGTATGTGGACTATGAGAAAGCCTTTGATTCCGTCGAAATTTGGGCGGTGCTACAGTCCCTTCAGCGGTGCCAAGTTGACTGTCGGTATATCGAAGTGCTGAAGTGTTTGTACAGTAGGGCTACGATGGCTATCCGAGTACAGAACCAGAGCTCGAAACCTATCCAACTGCAGAGAGGTGTAAGACAGGGTGACGTTATATCCCCGAAACTCTTCACCGCTGCATTGGAAGACGTTTTCAAGCTACTGGACTGGAAAGGATACGGTATTGACATCAATGGCGAGTACATCACTCACCTTCGATTTGCCGACGATATAGTCCTTATGGCAGAATCGCTGGAGGACTTAAGCACTATGCTCAATGACCTCAATAGTGCCTCCCAACGGATAGGTCTTAAGATGAACATGGATAAAACAAAGATCATGTTCAATGTCCATGTCACACCTATGCCGGTAGTTGTTGGGAGCACTATGCTCGAAGTTGTTGACGAATACGTTTACCTGGGACAAATAGTCCGACTAGGTAAGTCCAACTTCGACCGAGAGGTCAATCGACGGATTCAACTCGGCTGGGCAGCGTTCGGGAAATTACGGCATATCTTTTCGTCAGGTATACCTCAATCTCTAAAAACTAGATTGTACAACCAGTGCGTGTTGCCAGTGATGACTTACGGATCTGAGACGTGGTCCTTCACTGCTGGCCGTATGAGGACGCTTAAGGTCGCTCAGCGAGCTATGGAGAGGGCTATGCTCGGAGTTTCTCTGCGTGATAGACTCAGAAATAAGGATATCCGCAGTAAAACCAGAGTGACCGACATAGCCCAACGGATTAGTAAGCTGAAGTGGCAATGGGCCGGCCATATAGCTCGAAGAACCGATAACCGATGGGGAAGAAAGGTTCTCGAGTGGCAGCCTCGTACCGGTAGGCGTAGTGTAGGGCGACCCCCCACTAGATGGAGTGACGACCTGGTAAGACATGCAGGAAGTCGATGGATGCAGGTGGCTCAGGACCGTGCTTTGTGGCATTACTTGGGGGAGGCCTATGTTCAGCAGTGGACTTGTGAAGGGCTGTAATGATGATGATGATAATAAAATAACACAATGTTTAAAGTCAATAAATATTTTTTAAATTCCATTTTTATTAAAAATATTATTAAAAAAGTCAAAGTAACCAGAGTACTTGAAAGCGCAGAGTAAGAGTAAGAGGAAAATTCATGTAGATTGGTGATTAACAGTACACATTTATTATATATCAATGTTTTATTTATTAATGATTGTTTACTTTTGGAGATTTTTCTTACTTCAGATGGACCACAAGGCTCCCTGCGACGGTTACGGAATCAACTAGCTGAAGATGGCTGTGCAGAATCACAAGTTGTTCTTGCAAAGCAACTCTTAGAAGAAAAGTGTGGTAATTATCATTAAATTTTTTGATAATAACTTTTAAAAGTAAAATAGAGCTAAGGATAAAAATGACTACAAAAATAAAATTTTCTTTACTTTACTCAAACAGTTTGGTCACAATTTTTTTTTTAATTCTGTACTAGCTGATACTGTATTTTACATGTAAAGCCGTTGGTCCTGCGCCAGATCACTCTCCGGTCTTGTAGGATTTCCGTCCCATTGGACTATGAAAGTGACAGAATAGAGGGTACTGTGTTTGCGCACACACTCGTGCACTAACATCCATTCCTGTGCAGATGCCTGGACTCGGTAGAGACTGGCAGCGTCACCTGATTGAAGTGAGAACCTAGTATGGCATACAGGAAGTTGATAGATGTAAGTGACTAAAGACCATGTTTTGTTACCTTGGGAAAGGCTATAAAAATGATGGTGATGATGAATCAGACGAGAAAACAAATAATTTGTGGTTGTAATTTTTGGGATTTGAATGCAAGACTCTCTTGTACCACTAAAGCAAGTCACACTTATGGTAATAATGTCCTCCAGACCGAATTTCGGCCACGACGGCTTGCCTCAACGGTCGCTAGCCATCAGCGCAGGACAAGATTATAGTGCGCAAGCGTATGCGCAAGCACAAGTGCACTCTATTGCCTCATTCTCTCCGATGGGACGGTAAACCGACACAACGGAGAAAGATCAGACGCAGGACCAACGGCTTTACGTGTTTTCCGAGGCACGGGGGTGAGACACCGCCAACTTCCAACTGCAACTGCTGTTGGAAGTTGGTCCGGGCAGCAACTGAGAATTTCTTGACAGAAAAACTCAATAATTGATTTTTTGGCCTGACCCGGGATTCGAACCCAAGACCTCATGATCAGTAGTCGCACTACTACAATCACTAAACTAACAAGGCAGTATATGGTACTGAATCACTAATTACTAAATAACTTTGTATTTTAAAATTTCGTTATCTACAGAACTTGAAGCTGACAAAATATCCAACTTTAAGCAAGCACTGGAATGGTTAATCTGTGCCACAGAGCAAGCTCATCCAGAGGCCAGGAGAATGTTAAGAAGGTATGGTTTAATTCCTTATTATCAAATCATTTGTTATCCCCTGGATTGTCATGGGAATTTAGTGTTCTGCATTTAGTGTTTTTGGATACTTTTTCTGCCATCTCTCAATCCTCTGATGATTTTCTACGTTATTCGTCAATCAGCAGGGTTACCCTACTTTTTTTGAAGACAGATTTGAGACATGGTATGGGAGTTGGGATAAGAAGGACATCCTTATATCCCCAATCCATCCCCTTCCGCTTTGCGCTGTCATATTCCAAATTGTCATTCTTGAAAACAAGTGCCTTCAACAGTTGAGTTTGCTATCTTCGATCATTGAGCCTGCTATTTTTATTCTTTAATATGTGGCGGCGCTGTCGTCACGCCACAAGCGAAATACACCGAAGCCTAAATCACGCTATCAACATTCCGAATCATAAACACCATATATAGAACATCTCCAAACTATTACACGGAGTGTTGGCCGCTCCCCGGGCAGAACACCTTGCCCGGTGGGAGATCTCCCCTTTTCCTTCTACGGCCACAGTGGTGACTAACCGACGTGATCTGAACACGCAACCAAACAACCTTCGGAAACTTCAAGCTTCGTCATCGTCATAGAATATCCCACCCATTCGCTCCCGAGCAGATATCGTCTGCAGTCTTCATATCCTGCAAGCCATCTAGCTTCACAAGGTTCATCGCAGCACTGGAATAATAATGCTTCCTGTTCCTTCAAGCTACTCTCTGCGCCATACAGTGTTCGGCACGGCTCTGAGCCTTACTGCTCGCCTCTGCCTCACGGCACTCTCGCAGATTACTTGCCTTCTTCTCGACTCACCGCAGACTACAAGGCAATCTCCTGGCACTTGCACATTCGTCGACAACTCGACTGCACTATCGACCTCCGGTCTGAGCAGGGGGGTGATGTGGCGGCGCTGTCGTCACGCCACAAGCGAAATACACCGAAGCCTAAATCACGCTATCAACATTCCGAATCATAAACACCATATATAGAACATCTCCGAATTATCACACGGAGTGTTGGCCGCTCCCCGGGCAGAACACCTTGCCCGGCGGGAGATCTCCCCTTTTCCTTCATCGGCCACAAATATATTTGTAATTTGAAATTCAGAGACAGCACTAAAACTTAAGAATAGAATTGAATGGAATAGTTTTTTATTCAATACAGATTACAAGTAATTTTTATTCAAAAAAGTAGCGTAAGTTACTCCTTATTACATCAGCTATCTGCCAGTGAAAGTCCCGTCAAAATTGGTCCAGCCATTCCGGAGTTTAGCCGTAACAAACAGACAAACAAACAAAAATCAATTTTTTTGTTATAAGCACCGTATGTACTTTCACATGTACTTAGTAAAAAGCTGTTATTTCGACATTACAAACAGACACATTAATTTTATTTATTTGTATTGTATAGATTAAATTTTTATTTAATTGTGTTGTGGATGTATACGTGGTAGAGCCATGCTGCAGTTGTATTAGTAGTATAATTGTAGCATGAATGGGTCGGCTCGACCGGGGAAGGACCACGCTCTCACAGAATACCAGCGTGAAATAGTAGCTTTAATGCTTGTGTGTTTCGTATGGTGAGTGTAGAGAACCGGAAGCCGTTTTACTGGAAACGAGGCATTCCATCTTAGTCCTCACGGGTGACAACGCATATGCATTTTGATTTGATAGATGTAGATGTCTATGGGCCGCAGCAACCACTTACCATCAGGTGGACTGTGTGCTCGTTTGTCACCCTATCCTATAAAAAAAATGTCAACATTTCGACATCCACAACATATTGATTGAAACTACTTTTACGGATTTTATCGCGTTTAATTTAAATTATTTTTAATTCCCGACGTTTCGCGTGCTTTCCAGCACCTACCTTTACCTATGGTCTTCTTCTTATTTCTTTTTTATGGCCCGTGTACAAAATATTGTGATAATGCAAGTGTCTTATATTTCTTTAAATAATTTTTTAATGAATTCTAATGATTAGACTGTTTAATTACCTAGAACAAATGACAAATACAGTTGTTACAAATACATTAGTATGTTATTATTGACAAACATTAAAGTTTTATGCTATTAGTGTTAATGAAATCAGACATCTATCTTTATCACCTATCGTCACGGTCCCCCGTGTAGGTGACTGACGTCCCGATGTCAATGTTAACCTGGAGTACCTTCAGCTTTTTAATTAAACGTCGGGAATTAAAAATAATTTAAATAAAATGCGATAAAATCCGTAAAAGTAGTTTTAATCAATGTATAGGGTTCGCGTAAATATAAGAAATCATTATCCACAACATAGTTACTTATATACAACGTAAAAGTAAAAAGAAAACAAACAACTAAAAAGAGTAAAATAAATACATTCTGAACTTGGTGCAAATTCAACTATGTTGATAGTGTTTAGATGAATTACGAGGGGTGATCCAAAAGTAATGATAATCGGTTACTTCAGGTCCGCATAAAAATCGAAAAAAAAAATTTTTTTTTGCTTGCTAACTACGTAAAAAATAATATAAATAGATCACGATTTCCGGGAGATACATTCATTTGAATACGAACTGTCAAAGAGATAACATCAACATGGAGAAAAACGAAATTAGAGCTGTCATCAAGTACCTCTGTTTGAAAAAAATGTCTTCAAAAGACATACACAGTGACTTAGTGGAAACATTGGGGGACTCTGCTCCTCCATATTCTACAGTTGCACGCTGGGTCAAGGAGTTTAAACTGGACAGAACATCCACTGAAGATGAACATCGCGAAGGACGCCCATCCACGTCCCTCACTGAAGACAACGTGAAAAAAGTCGAAGGTGTTGTGTAGGCAGATCGAAGAGTGACCATCAGGCATGTAGCTGACGTCACAGGGATCTCATATGGCAGCGTTCAAAGAATCCTTGCGAACGAGTTGCATATGAAAAAGGTCTCTGCGCGTTGGGTACCCAGAATGTTAACCGACGAGCAAAAGAAAAATCGAGTTGACATTTCGAGGGTCAATCTCGAAAAGTTCCAAACAGATCAAGAAATTTTTTTGTTCCGTTTTGTGACTATGGATGACATGATGGATCCACCATTTTGATCCTGAAACGAAACAACAATCGATGACTTGGAAGCGAGCCTCCTCACCGACGCCAAAGAAATTCAAAGTTTCAAGTTAAAAGGTTATAGCATCTGTTTTTTGGGACGCTCAAGGCATAATTATGGTGGAATATTTGGAAAAGGGAGCCACTATTACGGGCTCTTACTACGCAGACCAAATAAGAAGATTACGGGAGGCCATTAAGGAAAAAAGACGCGGCAAACTGCGAGCTGGAGTGCTGTTTCACCAAGACACCGCACCGGCTCACAAAGCCGCAGTTGCGATGGCTGCCATTCAAGAAACGGGATTCGAAATGCTCGAACACCCTCCCTATTCGCCAAATCTAGCTCCTAGTGACTTCTACCTCTTTCCTCGGCTCAAGGAACGCCTCCGAGGCAAGAAATGCGAAGACGATAGCGAAGTAATGGTCGCTGTTGAAGCGTTTTGGGAGGGTCAAGACAAAGAATTTTTTCAAAAGGAATCCTGGGTTTAGAAAAAAGATGGACTAAAATGTATAGATTTGTTAGGAGACTATGTAGAAAAATAAATTATTATTTTAGCTTTAATTACCGTGTTTTATTTTCATTATCATTACTTTTGGATCACCCCTCGTAGATGACATCAGAATGTGAAGATTATTATTTTTAGTATATTTAAGGCAGCCTTTTCCTTTATATTAAAAGTTGATTTACTTACCCTTTTGATCGGATCAAGGACTATCACAATCTCAAAGTCATCTTACTAGTTCCATTAAGAGATTTCCTCCAAATTTATATGGGACCCGTGAAGTACAACCTATTTCATAAAAAATCTATTGATAAGGATATCGCGTACCTAGGCTGCACTAAAAGTATCGGGAATGGAATATTTCCACTGTTCCTATCATATTAAAATCTTTTTAATTGAAAACTCCTTGGTTTTAAAAATCGAATACCATTTATTTATTTAAAAAAAGATTCTCGGTCTTGTCACAAGGTTTTGTCAAACTTGTTTAGTCGTTGAGAAAATGGAATTGACTCGAGAAAATTTAAGAGCGATTATTTATTATGACTTTCGAAGTGGTTTAAGACAAAAACAGTGTATTGACCGAATGATTTCTGCATTTGGTGATGAAGCCCCATCCAAAACCACAATTTATCGCTGGTTTGCTAAATTTCAACGTGGACGTGTGAAGCTCAGTGATGATCCCCGTCAAGGTCGTCCAAAAACTGCAGTCACCCAAGAAAACGTTGATGTTGTGCGTAAGCTGATTGAGGAAGATCGACATCTGACATACCGCGAAATTCAGGCAACTTTAGACATTGGCATGAGTCAAATACAAATAATCTTGCATGAACAATTAGGTGTAAAAAAGTTGTTTTCCCGATGGATACCGCATTCGCTCTGTGAAGAGCAAAAAGCGACTCGCGTTACTTGGTGCGTCAGAACCCTCGAAAGATTCCACGCTGGATCCTCAAATGCTGTATATAACATCGTAACGGGTGGCGAATCCTGGATATACGCGTACGAACCCGAAACAAAAGACCAGTCACGAGTTTGGGTGTTCGAAAATGAGTTAAAGCCAACAAAAATTGTTCTTTCACGGAGTGTTGCAAAAAAATGGTGGCCACGTTTGTCTCCAAAACCGGCCATGTTACGACTATTCCTCTTGAGGGACAAAGAATGGTTAATGCAGAATGGTGTGCTAGCATTTGTTTGCCACAGGTCGTTTCTGAACTCCGTAAAGAGAACTGCAACCGCCGCATCATCCTCCATCACGACAATGCGAGTTCTCACACCTCACACAGAACAAAAGAGTTTTTAGAGCAAGAAAACATAGAATTATTAGACCATCCGCCTTACAGCCCCGACCTAAGCCCTAATGATTTCTATACTTTCCCTAAAATAAAGAATAAATTGCGTGGACAGAGATTTTCATCACCTGAAGAAGCTGTGGACGCCTACAAAACGGCCATTTTGGAGACCCCAACTTCCGAATGGAATGGTTGCTTCAATGATTGGTTCCATCGTATGGAAAAATGTGTCAAATTTCGCGGAGAATACTTCGAAAAGCAATAAATACATTTTTAAATAGTAATGTTGTGTCACTTCCTTGATTCCCGAAATTTTCAGTGCCGACCTCGTAACGTGCGTACAAAAAACATGAGAAATATTTAACGTCCTTATTTTTGGAAGTCGACTAAAAATATTTTTAAATTTGATATGACTGGCCACTTAAGTTTTAGAAAAATGTCGTTTGAGAGTTAGACGTCATTGTGTATAATAAGCAAATGCGGTATTACCTGTTATTTTTCTAAACATCATCCATCAATTCCGCGTGCTCCATAAGTGTTATGAGGTAATAGGTGTTGAATTATTATGATTCCGGTGAAATGTAAACATAAACATGGCGGCATTTGCGTTCCGATACATTTGCGTGAATCTAGTAATGAGTACGGGCTCACATAAGAAGGGCCTTCGTGCGTCTTTGATTTTAACGAATATATTTTCACAATAAGAGTCTTTCTAGTGGTCTTATTTGTGTTTTTATTTCATTGTGAATATATACCAATGCACGATATTCCCGAATATAAAGATTGGAGAGTAAAGTGGGATAAAGTACGACGCGAGTTCCAAAAGTCTAAGTGAGTTCGTGAATATTTAAATAAAGTTATAAATCTACCTATATCTTTCTATATACCTATATTCTTTTTTTCGTACACGCTCTTCACTTGATCTTTGTTTTCGTCACTCAAAGATTTTCTGGAAGAGATTTATTTCAGTGGCAAGACCGCCATACTCTTGAAATTTAGCTTCTATTCGTATTTTGTATTTCGGTGTATAATAAATAATGAGTAAATACTTAAAAAAATATATAATAATTCCGTGGTGCTGATAAATTTTCAAGTCTGTTCATGATTGCATGGTTTACAAATAATACGATAATGTAATGTTCACTGACAGTGATGATTAATTGTCTTTTAATCTGAAAGGAAACAAACTTCATAAGGTAGGACTATGATGCTGCCACACCACGCCTCATATAATACCAGCGTAAAATGGCATCACATTGCTGCAGTATTTCGTTTAGTGTCTTTAAAGAATTGAAGACCTTTTATATTATCCGACTGGCTCTAAAGGAGGTTTCATTGGAAAACTGTGGTAGTCTGAGCATAATAGCCATAGACTACTATAATACATACATAATAGAACGGGTAGTGGGCGGAGCCTGTGTAGCCACTAAAATGTCACTAACATGTCGATTCACACGTATAATTGTCAACACGAGATGTGTTTGACATTACAATCGTTTCCAATTGAAAATGCCAAATTGCACACTATTTAAAATAAATATGTATTAAAATTTAAACGATTTTTTAAATAATGATCTTGAACATTAATCAAAAGTCTAAAATGTTTAATGTTTAAAATGTTTTTACTCAGTCTGTCAACATAGCGAATCGGGTTTGTAGTAGTAATAATACGACGTAATTGCTTATATGTGTGCTCCCGACGACGCCGACCCTCGTATTAAATAAGGGTGACAGCCATTCTATTGTGTATTATAGTATTCTATGATAATAGCTACAGACTAAAGAACGTGATGGATGACCTTTATGTATTTGGACATACGGGGTGACGTTAGAATCGTCACAGAGCGTATAAATTTTTTCTCTTTTCACAAAACTCTAACGCAGTTGAATTTTTTTTATTACTAATTTGACCATCAGGCTTTTTACAGGTAATCAAGCATTTTATCGGAGTAGTACAATGCAATTTGATTTTTAATCAAGCATAGATTCGGGATTTCGCAATGTTAAAATTTGTGTAACATGGTTTTGACTCAACTTGACATTTGAGTTTAAACTTTTTATTATTAAAAATATGCTCACTCTTGAACTCCATCTGGGACTGAGGCAAAGATGAGGTCTACGATGAAGCTATTTCGCCCGGGAGAAGCCTGCTAACACGCACCTTGAAGAGGTCCACGGTATAGGTACTCGGAAAAACAGACGGCGGCGGCTGAACATTTCACTCCTAGGCTGTGCGCATTATAATAGATGATTTATAGCGCTTAGTGCGAATAGTCGGAACATTAACCAAGTGTGTGGATACGTCTGGTACTCCGATAGGCGAATGGAGATTGCGGTATAAGCTTATAAAGCTCATAGGCACACTTTTCGAAGTGCAATCTGCAGAAGACAGACAAACGAGCAATTTGGTGGCGGTGAGTTAAGCTCTGAAGCTTGGTTTCCACCAATTTTTAGTTGCCGATAAGCCTCTTAGCTCTGCGTTCCACTGAGCCAAGTGCGGCAAGTTGATATTTTGCTGAGCCGTCCCAAAGGTGATACTCCATGCATGTTCATATTTGAAAAACTCGAGATTGCAAAAATCTCTGAATACCGGCTTCCGTGTCTGTAGGTCACATTTTCCACTTACCATCAGACGTTGGTGACAAAGTTTAGCACAGCGTGGGGTTTTGTGTAAAATGCGTTCCTATGAATGTTGATGACCACAGCATCATGCGAAGCAGCGTTTTGTTATGACATTTTTTTATACACACCCAAACACGTGCATTTTGTGTAGTACTTATTTTTTGTTGTTAAACATTAGATTATGAAAAAACTCAGTGAAATTTAGTTGTTTTGTTTGGTTTAAAATTTAAATTTAAGAATTCTGATTCAGAAAAAAAAGTAATCTTTCCTTGTCTATGACCTGTCCTCAAAGGAAAATTTAATATTTACGCGGATTTTAAAATTTTTAAAGTTAGCATTTTATTTAAATAGTTGATTTCTCACAAAGTGCAAGTTAAAGTGGTAGGATTCAGAAAAAATACCAAACACTAACTCATTGCTTTGAAATTTTAACAGGTTTTCAGTTGCATGTAAATATTGTTGAAAACATTTGCTTTGATGTATGGTACACTTAAGATTTAACATACAGCATATTAGCACACGTACAGAGTTATTTTGCAATATACGGCCAAATTTGCAGAGAAGTTTCAGAATAAATAATGTAGGCGAATTGTGAAGAAAAATTGGTTTTAAAAATCTCAACCATTCTATCCTTTTTATCTTTTGAATCCAGAATGGTGATGCATTATTTTGACTGATTGTCATTTACAAATATCTAATGCCTACTATTTTACTATTACTACGCGTGCACTCATTCGTAAGGGTTGCTCGGTCGGCAAAAACATTGTTAGTTAAGACGACACATCGAAAAAGTGGCTCAACGCTATCGCCGTACCTGATCCAAATGAATACATAATTTCTATAAAAACTTGAAAAAACGCCGTCATAAGGTCTAAAATTGCGCAGCGCCCGCGACGAATAAAACCTCTTTTAGAAATTGTCAGAATTTTAAAATATTTTTTAAAAATTTATTGATTTAAGTAATCAAAATAATGAGCAAGTAAATTATGAATATTGATGTTATGAATATATTTGAGTGATTCCCAAGCATATAGATTAAAGTAATTTCGTTACAATTTCAACTATAGTGATTTTTTAGAGATGTTTTCACAAATAATTATGATCGAGTCAAAATTATACAATCGTGTTTTGAACAAGCTAATTCAAGATAAAGACTTGAATTTACCTGTATCAAAATTCCACTTTCGTTAGTGGTGTCATAGTCCTATACTATTCGATGAAAGGAGGTGCATTTTTTCGCGGTGTCGCCTTAAATCGCACACAAAGGAGCGCGCGTATACGCGTAGTTGTTTCCCATAAATCACATTAAATTTTAGATAATTTGAAATAAAAGTATGAGGCCTTATTTACTCGTATTTTGAATCATTATTTATATATTTGAACTTAATATAAAATTTGGGTACTCTATGAAAAATAACCACTGTATATTGTATACACTATCATCATCTTTCACAGATGTATACGCAGTGGCGTGATAGACGAGGACAGCGCGTCAATAGTGCGCGCTAAATCATGCCTGGCCGCCAGTCGCCAAGAAATAGTCGCGAGGAAAGCCGCCAGGGACCTTTTCGCTAGGTGAGTTTCCTTCTTATCAGGTAATTTTTAAATGAATTTTTTTGTGTTAAAAATTTGATGATTGGTCAAAATACAACACATTAACAAGAAAAAAGTACATACATACATATATTTTTATTCTTTTTTTTAGTTTATCAAACGGTGAACAGTACATAACAACGGCACAGCTGGAAAGGCGTATACGCGAGATATGTACAACTACCCTCAAGAAAGATCCGGATGATGACACGACTGATGAAGAATCACAAGGTAACAAACATGATTATGTTATCCGATTTTGTCTTAGTTATTTTGCTTCAATACAATCTATCAAAGGTATACTGTTGAACTTAGGTCCCCCCTATAGATTTCCACATGGAAGGGATAAATACTGAGTACATTATTATACACATTTCTATGTGTAAACAGTGACTCGTTGTAGGTTGTACCCCACGGGCGGTTGATGTAACGTTTATGCGGATATTGCAATATTGACGAATTATTCCGTTTATACATACTAAGAAAACCATCTTAGTGGATACTCTGAAACGCATGTTCGTTTATCTACCCTAGACGGGGTGGATAATTGGAATTCACTTTTAGATTGTTGTTCCGCCTTTCCACCCCAAGTACTTACAGTTCAACAGAAAATATATTCTTTAACATATTATTGATTAATTTTTAATAACCACAAACTTAAACAAAAATCATATAACATATTCCTTTTACAACAAATTACACTTCCTTGTTTTAAATTGGATTTCTTAGGGTGGATAAACGGAATAACCCGAATTGACTACTTTATATAAATATGTCCACGCCTACGTTACGGTGAATTTTAGTCGAAGGTGAATTTAATTGCAATAAAATTGAATTATAGATGAAGCGCGCGCTTTAGACGGGGAGCAAGCCTTAGAACCATCTCACCTCGAGGCCGGTGACCAAATACATGTAAATGGGACCTTACGGACTACACGAGCTAGTGTAGAAGGTACGTAAATATTGGAATTTTACAACACCTTTCACTGATTATCTTGTTTTTCTGCTTATAACATTAGATGCTTGAAATGTTTCTACGATGTTTATTTAAAAAAATATATAAATTTTTGCAAAATGAAACTACGTTTTTAATCTAATTATTTTCTGTTGCATCTTTTTATCTTTGCCTATTTTTCTGCAAACTATATTATGTATTATGCGGTAATAAAACGTTTAATCCGTAGAAGCGATAAAGTTTACAATTGCTTTCCGTATGTCCGTTTCGTGAGCCAAAACAAATTGGCAACTAGAACCTATTTTTTATATAATAAGGGTGACAAACGAGCACACAGTCCAACTGATGGTAAGTGGATGCTGAGTTTGACGGCTCTGTGGCGTAGCGGCTTAACAATGAGTTGCATCGGGTTCGAATCCCTCACGGAGTATGGCTTACAAATAATTATTCCCGCTCTGGATGTTTGTCCGTGTCATATTATTGTATGTATACTGCCCCTACGATACAGGAGAAAATCCTAGTGTGGAGGTAAGGTTAAAGAAAAAGATTTGTTTCATAGATATCTATTTACATCTATCCTCAATTAAGAATCAAAATACAGATGTGTCATCACACCTGAGGACTTAGACGGAATGACTCGTTTTCAGTAAAAATGGTCTCCGTTTCTCTACACTCATCACACGAAATACAGCAGCATTAAGCTATTAACTCACTTTGGTATTCTGTGAGAATATAGTTCTTCCCCGATCAAGCCATAATATAGCTGCAGCATGGGCTCTACCACGTATTATTCATGATAAAGCATTAATTAAAATTACAACGCTGATCCCAGTAGTCCATGTGCAATTAATGTAGTAGAATAAATCCAGGATCCAGATTTTTATATTATACAAAGTACAATTTTGGAAAGATTGTAGAGTACACCAATGTGGAGTTTGTTCGAGTTTAAAAGTTTGCTTCGAAAAATATTATTGCTCCTAAAAAAGTACAGCCTACACACACACCCTATCAGCGACTTCCTACTTATAGGACGCAGGACTGTTTTAATCCTGCGTAGTTTAACTATTAAAAAATAGTTTCACCAATTTTTGTTTTCGAACCTTACAAAATTAGTGTAATAAATTAAAGATGTTAAAAATTAAATAGCGAAAATCTGCGTAATAAAATAAAATGACGTGTCTTACCTAGGCTAAGTTTTATACGTGGTAGAACCACTATTACGTAATCGAGGATAGATGTAGATGTCTATGGGCCACAGCAACCACTTACCATCAGGTGGACTGTGTGCTCGTTTGTCACCCTATCCTATTAAAAAAACATCTTTATTATTATATAAAAAAAATCTTTATTATCATAGATTTCCGTAAAGTAACGCCTGATTCTATTGATTATTTATAATCTTTATTTAAATTACAATATAATATGATTGTTATTTACAGATTACCCAGAACATGTCGGAAGGAACGATGAAATTCGCAACTTAACAGTTGATAACTTAGTCTCAGCTGCTGTCGATTATTGCCAAGGCGAATTACCTCTAGTCAGTTATGAGTTGACCTTGACAGACCCTAGTATTAAGGCCTTAGACCATATACCCCTGTTCCAACAGGCGTTCTTACATCCCATCGTCTTCATTCAGGTTTTATATCTGAAACTGCTCTATTACTTCGGTTCTTTTTCGTTCAGACTATCAAATATCGAACTTTCTTTACTCTTAATAGCGTATTTATCAGCGAATGCAGACAGTCTTTACCATTTGGTGCCATTAGTTATGTATTATGTTAGTTTTATTGCAATGGTGATCTGTACGTTCAAAATGCTTTTAGCCAAGAGGCAGTTCATTGACTTTAGGAAGTGGTCCGGTCTTTTCCTACGGTATAGCGATGGCAATCTGCAGCCAGACGAATCTGAGAATCTTTTCGTTAGAAATAACCTCTATCCTTTCGTACAGTTCTTTTTGGCGTTATTAATTAATCTGTTCCTTTACCCGTTCATTGCGACGCAGTGGGTGCCATTTTCGGAATTCTGCGTCCTTTCCTTTTGTCTAATGTTCCTGACGCTGTTTTCCTTCGGGACGAATGGCAACCCTTACCCGGATCTATTAGCTCTCGTGTCCTTCGGGATAAATGTTTTGGCAAAATATCCGTACGAAAAAGACACTGTAGTGCACCAAGGCTGGAGGTTTTTAGATCTACACATATCCAATTATCCATCTTACATACTAGGCAACAGCATTGAATTTTGCTTGAACTCCAGAGTGTTTTTCTCTCTTCTTATACCCGTTATATTAGTGTCGATGGCGCGAAGGAGCGATTGGCAGGGTTTCTTTAAATATACATTACCGCATTGTGTGACCTTAAGCTGGTTACAGATGTTCATAACTTGTTCCCACGGGTGCACCACTTATGGTTTGATAAGAGGGACTCTAGCTTTAGTTTGTTCCTTCCTATTCCTTCCTCTTTTGGGAGTAATTACGGTGACTCTACCAATATTTGCTTTCCTTCAGTACATTACACTTTCTAGATTGTTCTATACCATATCAATTTTGACCGGATTTGGTGTTAGTTTAGGGGTCACGTGTTTGTTGGCCAAGACGGAAGTTACCAAGAAATTTGTCACGCCGTTCCAGGTATGTATAATTTACAAATATCAAATTGAATTAAAACATTACTTGTAACAAATTACTTCTTCCTATAAGGAAGTGGTCTTTTTTTTTTGCTCATAATAATAGTTGTTCTGAGTTATAAACTCGCGGCCCAAAGCCGTAGCCTAACTCTTATCCATGCTACCTAGCCACGACATACGCAGAACTTGAAACCTGGCTGACATCAGAGCGTATACACGACAGCAGGCAGTGGAAGGAAAAATGGGTAGAGGGAAGGGAACTCATTAGGGCCGATTTATACTTCAACAAGTACAGTAGCGAGTTTAGTTACAGGTCAGTTGACAGTAAACGGTTAAGTGGACAGTAGCGTTCAAATGTCTTCGTCGCAAGTGTAGTTAAAAAAGTAAGTGCAATTTTATATTTTGAACTGCACACTGAACTTAACTCATTGTTTAGTTGTGGGTGGCAGGAGACGCGTGGGAGGGCAACACTTCGAACTTGATTCGCCGAAAAATAGACCGGCTGGCTATCCCGTTCAATTTGATTGTTAAGTTGAAACTAACTTACTAATTGCTGTTCAAACGATATATTTTACCTAACTCGCCAGGTTCGCAAGTTTACTCGCAACTGTACTTGTCGAAGTGTAAATCGGCCTTTACTCGCGCGCCCTAAGTTGATTTCTGCGCGTTTTTCGATATTTTTTCTAAGATAGTATAATACAAACTGATAAAAAAATACAGTTATTTGAATAAAATAGTTGAATAGTTTCACTTTTATATTTAGTAATGTTATAATATTTTATGGACCTGATTGAAAATAAACCTTCTGTCAAATAATAATAATGCTTCATTGTTGCCACGTCCACAAAAATAATATTCTGCTGGACATTCTCTGACCGTAAAGTCGTATTTTTAATTAAACGAAGCCGCCTGACGTTTACTGGGTTGTCAGGTTTTGATGAATCAAAAATAGTGTTGTGACTAAATGACTGAACGGAGAACAAAATGACTGACTGATAAAGAAAACGACTGAATGGTAAAAAAATATTTTTTTTAACTGAAGGTTTTAAAAATTACGTCAACATTAATTTAAGGTACGTCCATGTTGTCAGTTCATCAGGCGAAAATTATCCATAGTGTATGTCGTCATAGGGAAAATTCATAAAAAAAACTATGCTTAAGTATTAATTTTTTTTATCATCGTCATCAGATATAATATCATCACTGTCACTGTCAGTAACATTTATTATAAACTTGTTTGAGACACTATCGATCATGTGGTCGAGATTAAACATTTTGTCTTCTTCTTTTATTATGTGAGCCACGCAGCTACTCCATTTTTCGGCAGTCACTTCATTTAGTCCTTCTTCGAAAAGTTTTTTTAAAGTCTTCCATCTTGAAGGTCTTATTGTTTCTTGCGACATACCCTTTGGCCTGCGCCCAAATCAACTCAATGGGATTGAGCTCACAATGGTAAGGGGGCAAACGTAAAACAGTGACTCCACGCTCCGTTGCCATTTCGTCCACGGCATACTTGTCGCAGTGTTCACGTTTGTGCTGCCGTACAATATATATAAGAGTAGCTTTCACAATGTCAATCAAGATAGGTTAATTTAATTGTAGTCATAATCATCAAGTCATCGTATACTAACTGACTGACTGAACGCATCTCTATTACAGTGAACCTGGCAACATTATTTCACAAAGTGACATATTTAGCATCTGTCAGGCAGCTTCGTTTAATTAAAAATACGATTTTATAAGAGAATTTCTACTTCTTGCACCTTTGATGTTGCTTCTAGTTCTGGTTTACATATATTAATCTGTCGGAAGACACAGGTCTTTCTGGAGTTTCTCATTGTTGTATGATACTTTGGGAGGAGAAGGGGTCTACCACACTGCACCACACGGTATCTTAATGATTCTATGTAAATAACTTATACAATTATCTCTCTTATAGATCGCCATCGGTGTTATTACCCTAATATATTTTGGGAATCAACTTATTGGGGACATACAGGACGACGGCCTACCGTCCGGCCTTATAGAGATGATAGGCGACGACAAATCAAACATTAAAAACCTTCTGAAAAACCAATTTATAACGGATTACGAGGAGACCAATTATCACATAAATTGGGAGGATTATTACAACCAATGCTATGCGCCATCTTGGACCGACAGCAATATGGCCGCCACTCAAATGAAATGCGCGGTGTTAGAAGGCGCCCACGTTATTTGGGAGGGTTATATTAGCGAAGTAAAATTAAAAACCGTTAAGAACCAGTGGAACGATTTCGCCTCGTGGTTGCCAATTTTTCTGCAAGAGTACTTCAAATGTTATTACGGGGAAGAATATGCGACGTTTTGTCAGAATTCAGAACTCTCAAGTATGTTTGATGACTGCGAATTTGTTAAGAGCGCTGCTAGACAAAGCGGGAAGATTTGTCACCTTAATAATTTAAATGAGTAAGTTTCTTTAATTTATTTTATTAATGATTAAATTCCAATATTGATTAATAACTGACAAGTATTTGTTATCTATATTATAATGTCATTAATTTATACGTTAAAACCTATCCAAAATTTAATGCCTTCACCATAGATTGCCTCACTGGACGGATATTTGCCATAGCTGCCACGCTCGGCAAGCAGGTTGGCAACCGCAGTTTTTTATTATCTTTTTTTATAGGATAGAGTGACAAACGAGCACACAGTCCACCCGATGGTAAGTGGTTGCTGTGGCCCATAGACATCTACGTCTATCCTCGATTACGAATCAAAATGCAGATACGTCGTCACTCGTGAGGGCTAAGATGGAGCGCCTCGTTTCCAGTAAGGTCTCCGTTTCTCTACACTCACCATACGAAACACAGCAGCATTAAGCTACTATTTTACGCTGGTGTTCTGTGAGAGCGTAGTCCTTTCCCGGTCTAGCTGACCCATTCATATTACAACTATACTACTAATATAACTGCACATCATGGCTCTACCGCGTATGAATTTTATATTTTTATTATCTGCTGCTCATCTCCTGTCTCAGTTTACCTACCTATGTCGCCTCTTACGACACTTACGGGATTATATAGGCCACTTCAAGACATTTTAATTTAGACCCCTGAATTATGAGTTCATAAATAGTTTACTCCTAAACACAAGATAAAAAGGATAACTGTGTTCCTATAAGTAAATAATTTAATACAAAATAAATCTATTTGACTATTTCTGATTTCTCTTGATCGTAGGCAGTGCCGATGCATAGAATTAGCTGTAGTGGCGACTCTCGACAGACTGATTAAATCGTGATTACACACTTTTTACCAATTTGCTATATAACTATAGATATATTTTAGAGCTTATATAGAATATTGCATAAAATGCTTAAGAGTGCTAAATAGAGTATATATATATATATATATATATATATATATATATATATATATATATATATATATATATAAATATAGATGGTTTGTAACTAATATTTTGAAGTTTTTGTAAAGTTGAATATGTTAAAACGTTTATTGTCTGTTCCTAATGTGATACCAAAATTTACATTTTTTAGCAATGGAGAGTTCATGGCCTTATTACGTTGTTTGTCTTTGTGCAATTTGTATTAAACTGCTATACAGAAAAAAATCCTGTGTGGGGTAAATTTTTAAAGAACAAGAAAAAAAGTTCTCGATTCGACAGTAGTTTTTTATGTGTTACCTCAGACCTTCTTTCTAGGTGACCCGTGATTGATGATTCTTTTTTATTTTATTTGAAAGCTGGTACTTCTCATTTGGACCACATATATCAGATCAAGATCTGACCAGTGCTTTTTGAATTATTCTTAATAATGCATATTTAATTGACTTCGGCTACAATTGATGATGTTTTCATTTTATTTATATTGAAGTCGGTTTGTCCAAAATTTTTAATTCTACCACTTGTATATTAAGATAAAGGATATAAAAATAAATACCAAAATATAAAATTTTGTTTTTAGATACAGCTACGAAGTGAAATTGACAATGGAAACAAGCGGCGGTTTACTAAAACGACACGCGGATATAACTCTTATGTTCGATCACCACTTTAGTAATTACACTCGACTGTTGCGTGCAGATGACAAAATTCGCTTCAAAGGCATACTCTTAAATGACCCAAACTCGTACTCAATCGGTTCTAAACACTTTAACATACGAGGCTATGAAATAAATTGCATTGAATGTAAAAATACCAGAGGGACCATAAGCTCGCCGAAGCCCACAGTTTCTAAGCTGTCAAAATTATTGCGTACTGTTTTTAATGATTGTGTTGTGTCCACTAAATATATTTTAAATTTCCTATTGAACCCAGTTGTGATTATCAAATGAAATTGTACTATATTTTTGTGTAATTGTATTTCAATTCGATTTGGGTGTGATTGTTTTTGAAATTATTAATTTAATTAAATTAAATGAAAAAATGAACACACAAACAGATAATATATTTTCTTAAACGACAATAAAATACAACAAAATTCAGGCTCAAACAGCCGTCATATTGTTTAAAACCTTGACTAAATATAGACTTTGTTTTATTTATGGTATTAGAATTTATGCAAATTCACTGTAAGGCAACGTTTATAACTGACGTTTAATATCACGTTTTACAGTGAATGATGCCAGTTAAAATAATATTTTATATGAATTAAACGTGTAAAGATAGCCTTAAAACGCATTATATTATATAATTTGACATTTTTATACAACACAACATTCTAAAGACGAAGTTGCATGTTCAACAGTATTTTCTTGATATACCTTGGTCTATTCTTTTTACTAAAAATTTTAATAAGATTTAAGATAATCTATATGTTAATAAGACTGTGTATAAATTAACCAAAACATTTCTGAACATTATTAAGGTGCTTGTTTAACTTGGTTATAAGTTATTTGATATTGTTCAAAAATTGATTTAAAAAAATGGTCTTCATTCGATTTAAAACACAAAACCCAGTATTTGTTAGTAAATATTTTATTAATATTTATGTAATATATTTTAGTGTCGAAATTACTTTATCATTTTTTTGCGAAAATACGCTCATTTAATTTGCAATGAACATGTGTGTCTCGTGTGTATATTAAATCTATTCAAAACTATTAAAACGGGTCTTAGTTGTTTATGAAGTGTTTGATGTTTAATCGAATTTAGACGACGTTTCATCTTTGTTGAAAATATGATCTCTAACAGTTAACATATAATCTAATGCTATGAACATTAATAAGTATATATTTTCTAATAATATAACTTTTTTATAACATAGATGGAATACTCTAACAAATAAAGAAAAATATATTGATATTATTCTGGTCTAAGACTACGTTTTAGTAATCTTGTGTGTTAGTGTTTGTCTATTATTATAATATTGTTTGACATTATGGTTTGTTTGCTATGAACTATTGTATGTTCGATGGTTATAATATGGTAAGATTTCATGGCAGATATTGTATTGAAAGTTAAAAATTGGAGACTGAACTGATTGTTTGATACGACTTTGTACTGGTTTTTTACTAGTCTTGGTGAATAATCCCAGTGCAGAATAAAAGATTCAGTAAAAAGTCTTCGTTCGGCCATTTATAAAGAATTCAGATATAATTGACTGATCGATAGTGATGCGGAAGGTGTTTTGTATGGCCTACAAGTGGTTTGAGGGCTTACCCAAGTGTAATTTATGTATGTATATCGAAAAGTTTCATGAATGAGGAAAAATTCCAAGTAAGAGAACCAGATGGAATCAGAAGTCTTTAGTAATTGCGTAACACATAGTTTCCGCCCTTTCCGATTTTTACGGAAATGCCTATATAAATCATAGATTGCAATTATAAGGTTTATGATGTGTTATTGAATTTTTCTTATAAAATTGTTTATAATAGAAAGTTTTTGGTACTTGTAAACTTTCGGAAACTTCCTTTTTTGGAAATTGTTATGATTATGGATTTTCTTTTGTTGTGAATACTATTAATGTACTATTTATAATAATATAATACGTATTACATTTGTATTGACTGGAAACTTGTAACTATGTATATTGTCAATAAGAATCAATCGAACGAATACAAATCTTATGTTGTTTAAAATAGAGTTGAAAATTAAATGAAGTCATATCAAAAAGACTGCGCAACTATTACAGGCAAAAAATTGTCAAACATTGAAGTCACTGATTAAATTCAAATCTGGTGTATATTTTTTATCTAAGTATATCTATCCCGTCATGAATTTCGGAACTCTTTTGTCCACCATTCTTACCAGATGAAAACATCCTCCACACATCTGAAAAATTTTAACGAGCCGAACTCTTTCATGCTTTTTCTCTCTGCTCTATACCTTGACTTCAGTTGGTGAATGTCTTTAAATTCAGTGATGTTTTAATGAAACGGCTAGTGTGAGAGAGGTTGTATGACACACTATATGACAATAGATATATAAATACGTGTATTGTGAAAATGATATAATAAAACTATATTTTGATGGAGTAATATTATGAGCTTTTTAATCATACATCCCTCTGCAGATTCCTTTAACTTTTTAATTAAAGGGAAATCAAAAACCGTACTAAATATATGAAAACCAAGACACCATCAGCTTCTTTATGTAAATATGGCAATATTTTTTGACAAAATTAACAAAAAGCATTATCACTCGAATTCTTCATGAAAACAATATTTCTATTTGTTGGAATAAAAAATATCTGAACTGCTGAAGTTAGATTTTGGATTGCATAACCTATTTTAAACTGCTTATTTACCACACTCGGTGGTGAAGGAAAACATTGTAAGGAAACCTGAGAAATGAGAAAAAATAAACATTGAGACAGAGCGGCGTTCCTTGCCCTAAAACTTTCTCAGAAATAAAGAGACTTCTGCCCAGCAGTGGGACGTATATAGGCTTTTTAACATATTTTAAAACAATGGCTATACCTATACGATCTACTCTGCTGTCAACATTGCGAGGCAAGATGCCCTTGAATGAATTGCGATTAAAGTCAAAATACGATTGTGGGAAAGTAGACTATTGCATACTGCGTAAAAAAATTACAAACAGTCATTCTAAAAAGCACCTGTGATAATAAAATATTTTTTTGCATTCGGGACGTACATTTTTCATATTTCGGAGTTGTAGAGAAATTAGTAGGTTGTCGCTAAATAAATAAATTTTGTAAAATGCTACGGTCGTGATACATCGGTGTTGAAAACTGCAAGACGGGTTACAATAGTGAATGGACTTATCAGTGTAAGATTGGAGGACCGAAACACCGCGTAGCTCGGTTTCACTTTACTAGAGTGCACGCAAAGTGAAGCATGAGTAATGACTTAAGGTCTGTAGAACCTTTACCGCATACTTTCAAATTAGCAGCCATCATAGCCTGACAAATCCACTGCTAAACATAAGCTACTATAAAGTGCCACAAAGTGCGTTTCTAAGCCACCTGTATTCATCTACTACCTGCATGTTTTATCAAGTCGTCACTCCAGTTTGGCGGGGGGTGGGGGGAGGCGGAGGGGGGGTCAGCATTTGATAGATATGTTTTATCCAATGATGAAGGTGTACCTAACCTTTGTTCCAATTTTCGCTAAACTTTCTAGTAATTATTTTTTTTTTGTCAAAAAAACGCAAATCTTTTATTCTTCACTACATATGATTTTCGAGCGTCCATTTATTGGTGATAATTAATCTAAGAAAACCGTCTTTATTTACTATACTTACGTGTAGTTATTAATATACAACCTTAACCTCTTCTTGTGGATTGTGGAACCTAAGTACGGGGTACCTTAAAAATGTCTTAATTTATTAAAATAACGGTGGAAGCTGTAGCCCATAGAAATTCACATCTATCCTCGATTAAGAATCAAAATGCAGATGCATTGTCACTTCTGAGGACTAAGATGCCTCGTTTCCAGTAAAAAGGGTTGCCGGTTCTCTACAATTCACCGTACGAAACGTAGCATTTGGCATTCAGCTTCTATTTCGGGTTATTCCGTTTATTCACTGTAAAGAATCCACCCTAGGGTGGATATACTCGGAAGAGTGTTCATCTATCAACCCCAGACGGCTGGGGTGGATAATCGGAAAAAAATTTTTTTTGTTCTTCCGTCTTTTTACTCCAAATGCAGTCCAACATATATACTTTAATTATTAATTTTTTTTAACCACAAACTTTATCAAAAAACTTGTTACGTATTGCCATTACCGTTACTGTTATAGCCTAATAACGTCCACGTATTACGTGTAGTATTTATATAAAATTAAACTTCCTGGTTATAAATTCCGCAATATATCCACGCAGTTTAACAGTGGTAGAGCCACGCGGCAGCTTTGCTGTTGCACGTATGGGCCGGCTCAAACCGGGGTGGTACCAGGACCTCACAGAATACCGGCGTGAAGTGGAAGCTCTGCTTCCGCGTTTCGTCTGGTGAGGGCAGGTGGCCGGAGGCCCAAATCCCCCCCCCCCATCAACATGGTAGCGGAATTAAATGATGATAGACTACCCCAAGAGGGTACCAGCACCCCTGGAGAATCCCTCGCTGAGCATCCACGACCATGTTTCTCCACTCCTGAGCGTGGGTGCTCAGGCTGGCCCGCGTATATCTGGGGGGGGGGGCAAAATTCCGCTCAAGACTAAAACTGCTCGGGGCAAACGGAGCAACAAGACCAAGGCGACCCCTGCCACGCCATCCAAGAATTTCTGCAATATCATGGGACTTCACTCTAACCTAAACGCCGTCCACTACCATCTCGAGACGGCGAGGCCGGCTCTCCTTTTTCTGACCGAGACGCAGGTGTCCTCTCCGGCTGATGTCTCGTATCTCTCCTACCCGGGGTACAAACTGGAACACTCCTTTGTGCCTCGGGCTGGAGTTTGCGTTTACGTCAGCGAGGACATCTGTTCTCGACGCCTGGGCAGTCTTGAAGGTTCGGACCTGTCCATCTTTTGGCTACGCGTAGACAGGGACGACCATCCGCGCATCTACGGGTGCCTCTATAGGTCCCATAGCGGTAATGCCGAAACAGACCGACTCTTCGACCACGTCCAAATGGCTACAGATTCGTTGCTACAGCAGATCCCCTCCGCAGAGATCGTGATCCTCGGCGACTTTAACGCCCATCACGCGGAATGGCGTGGTTCATGTTTAACCGATCATGCAGGGAAGATCTGTTCATGATTTTGCCTTGGCATATGGTCTGACACAACTGGTTACCTCGCCTACGAGGATTCCAGATGTGGACGATGACAGGGGGAGTACGCCGCCGACCATCCCGCGGTGTGAGTGCTCCATGTCGGAAGTGCATTTCATACAGCGCTCGGTTCGCAAAGCACTCCTCTCCCTGGACA